CTCCTTGGGGCACCCAAGATTGCCTGTGTGGCCGCATTTTGAACCAGCTGTAGCTTCCAGATACTTTTCAAGGGTAGCCCCACATAAAGCACATTGCAATAGTCTAGACGAGAGATAACCAGGGTGTGAGCGACTGACTGGAGGGACTCCTGATACAGGAAGGGGCGTAACTGGCTCACAACACGAAGTTGCACAAAGGCCCTCCTGGTCACGACTGCCACCTGCTCTTTGAGCAGGAGTCATGAGTCCAGAAGGACCCCCAGATTATGCACTGGGTCTCTTGGGGTGGTGCAACCCTGTCCGAAACCAAATATGGTACACTCCTGGATATAGAGGGACCTCCAGTCCACAGCCACTCCATCTTAACAGAGTTCAGCTGAAGCGTGTTGTGCCCCATCCAGACCCCCACAGCCTCCAGGCACCGCAAAAGGGTGGTCACAGCATCATTCAAGTCACCCAGGATGGAAATGCAGAATTGAGTATCATCTGCATATTGATGATACCTCATCCCATGGTGACGGATGATCTCATAAATTCACAAATTTATGAATTTATATTCATAAATCTTGTAGATGAACTGTCCATTATTTTTGGCTGATAACGTATAGCATGACCAATTATTATTTATTGCACTGGACCTTAGATCTTATCATTAGCGCCCTTCTGTAAGACCTCTGAGACAAAATTTTAGATCATGTTAGTTCTAAAGAGCTGGAATTAAATTGACAGTAAATGAAAAAGACAGTTGAGAGCCAAATTCAACATTTTGACTAGAACTTCCAAGATTTGGGGAAGGGACTATTTGAATCAGAGTCTCAGGACAAACATTCCTTTGCTGTACACTACGTCCACCAAAACATGCTACTTAATAAAAGAGGAACACAGGGAAGTGTATTCTTGAAGCATTTCCTCTTACAAAATTCCCCACACGCCATCTCATTTGAATGATTTAGAATATTATGACTTGTTCTGTACAGCCTGAGCAAAGAGAAGTCTGGGTGAACTACAAGTTTGACTGTCCTTGAAATGAAATTGGAGTATTCTTGGCATTTTATACTTTTAATTAATGTATGACTAAGGCCAGCAACTTAAAATATCCTGAAAGAAGTAAAAAGTCCAGACAGGAATACAGTACATAGTAAAACAGATAGTAACAAGAGAATTATACACTACAACCAGCAGGGGAGTTGGATTAACATTATATTATTTTTAATTTTATAAACCACACCTAACTGAAGACTAAAGCCATTACTGCATTAAGCTGCACATCTCTAGAGAAACATTTGAGTGCCTCTGCCAAGGGTTGGGGCATGCCAAGGTTTTACACACCCCAACCAATGATGGGCTGTCCTACACAGCAGCCTTAAACTGCTTGTCTCCTATGCTGAAATTAAGAACCATAAAAAGAATTGCTGTTCAGATTTCAGTTCAATTTCCAGTTTTAGCAATGATGCTAGCTGGATGTTTTGTCCAGGCAGCAATTACCATGTCCCCCAGTTCTCCTGCTTCTTTACCCCTGCCACCTATGGCAGGAAAGCAAGCCGCAAAAATTTTCCTTTCCATGGGCAGATTTTGAGGACATGTGGTTAACACTGATGGTCCTTTTCAATGAGCCCCTTTGTAACTGACACCTTCCCATCTGATACAGCCACTGGTATACAGATGGTATTGGGAGATCATTGTTTTTTCCTGTCACTTGGTTAGAAGAAGAAACTTGCAGAACTCTTGTTAATTTCACCTGGTTTAAAAAGATGAAGGTGGTGAACCTGTAAAACAAAACAAAGCATGAAAAAAAAAGGCCCACCCTTTCATAAGTCCTTGAATTTTCTTACCATATTACTTATGTTGTGAACACCCACCCATCTGTTTTTAGGATTATTTCTTCCAGATTAAATACCATGAAATGAAAGAATTTGTTGTGATAGTTAACTTCTGATATTTTTTTGAAGTAGATGGGCAAATTTAGTATTATTTTAACCAGTGCAGTACATTTACAGTACTTGATTCAATTATATGCTTCCAATTACTGTCTTACTAAATTCATTTTTGCTAGAGATATCATAATAAAGTTGCATCTCACACTATAGTTACATATCTAATTTTAAGATCTTAATATCTGTTTGATCCACATTTTACCCCACGATCTTATCCTGTGGCCAGAACAAAAGGATTTGTGGGGGAAAAATCTGTACCTTCACAGTGCAGTTAGATGCTCTTTTGTGCTGGAAACACAGCTTGAAAACCACATTTTTTTATAAGTTTCAGGAATGAGACACCAAGTTGCACCAATTTTGTTGTTCTTCACATGGTTTGCTCACAAGAAAGCAGAAAAAGACTTTCTCCATGTCATCTGTGGCAACAGTGCTGCTTATGGGCAATATCCTCCCATTGCACAATTGCACTAAGACACACCAGCATCGAATCAGACCCTCCTTTAAGGGGCTTCGGTTCGGAGGTAACCCATGCCTGGGGATGAACAGGGACCAGACAATTAGGTACCCCTGCTGCCACCACCCTTTCGTTATAAATGTGTTTCTCCCTTCCACACCAGCCCTTTGGAGGAGCTAGGGGAGGACTGAAGGGGAAATCCTCACCCCGCCCTGCATTGGCTAAACTACAGGAAGGGAAACCAAACAAAACTTTGAGAGTCTGTAGTTCAGCCAAGCAGAGGCAGGTGCTAGAAGGCAGCCCATCCGCCTCAGGATTCAAGTCAACTTTATTAAAGGTGACAAGGAAAATAAGGTCCACACTCTCAACACACAGTAAAAGAAAGATGAAATAAAATGCAAAACTCCTAACACATTTCTAGGCTTAGAACAGACCTGGGTTCTACACTTTTAATCTACTATGCAACTGCCTGTGTGAAATTGAAAACAACCAACCACCCTTCACTTTCCAGCCTTGCCTGAGGTAAGCCCTCTCACCCAGGACTCCAGACACCTAAAGCTCCTTCTGCCGAAAATGGGCAGAACCCCTGGGTCTCAGGCATCAGGCAACTCC